CTYSATTTTTCCCCGCCAACAACTTTCCGACTGAAAAACGACCTTTTCGCCCTCGGGGCGGCATTTATTTCATCGGAACGGCATTTTACGCTAAGCCTTGTTAAAAACCGCATCAAACAGCACGCAATTTCCTAACTTAATTTTGATTTTATGAATAAAGATAACGTTTTATTAAAGTGGCCACCGTAGCAGGATTAAACGGAMTTTGAGGAGTTGAGGTTCCAGTAAAAAAACAATGAAAATAKCTTCAATGTCTCTTTACAGAGGTTTAAAARTTTGATCAGAGTCTTATCAGGACTTWAGGGTTTCGAAATGTTCAGTTCATGAAGCTTTGTATGTGTATTTCATATTTTTTCAAATTTATTAGCTTTCTATAAAACCTACTTACTTAATTAARACTCGATAAAGTGTGGTTAAATGCACATCGAAAAAACCGTTCTGTAATCTGTTTTTKAGTTTCCTTGCATTTGGAGCCTAAAAACTTCGAAWGTAAATTTCAAACTCTTTAAAACTGTTTGGCCTTTATAAACCTCATTTARTTTCCATTGCTTTTGTCTTTTCGTATTTTTGCTTCAAACGCAAGCTTTTGACAAAATCAATAAAATACTCTCAAACGCACATACAGTTAATCGGTTTTTGAGTTTTTCTGTCTTTGGAGCCCCAAAACGTTTGTTGCAAATTTCTCACTCTTCAAAATTGTTTGCTTTTTAAAAAGCCTGTTTAGTTTCGCTTTTTTTCTGTGCACGCTTTTTACGAAAATCGGTAAAAAACGATCGAAAACACACACAAAAAATGTTAGTTTATCTGCGTTTTTCAGTTTTTTGTTACTTTAGAGCCTCACAATGTTGGCTCTAAATTTGATTGTCTTTAAAATAATTTGCTCTTACAGAAGCCTGTGTAGTGTTGATTGTTTCTTGTCATCGCGTTTTTTTTCAACGCAAGGTTCTGACAAAAATCGGGACACACAGGAAATTTTAGTGAATCTGTTTTTCAGCTTTTTTGCCTTTGGAGCCCCAAAACTTTGGTTGCCAATTTATTACTCTAAAAAGTCGATAAAAAGCGTGTTTAACTTCGATTGTTTGTTCGATTTTTGTCTTTAAACGCATGCTTTTGGCAAAAATCGCTAAACCACGGTCAAAAAACCACACAAAAAACGTTAGGTGATCTGCGCTTTTCAGTTTTTTTGCATTTGGAGCCCCAAAACTTTGGTTGCCAATTTATTACTTTAAAAAATCGATAAAAAAGTGTGTTTAATTTCGATTGTTTGTTCGATTCTTGTCTTTAAGCGCATGCTTTTGACAAAAATCGGTAAAATACTTTCAAAAAAACACACAAAAAACGTTAGCTGATCTGCGCTTTTCAGTTTTTTTTTGCCTTTGGAGCCCCAAAACTTTGGTTGTAAATTTATTACTCTTTAAAAAGTCGATAAAAAAGTATGCTTAATTTTGATTGTTCGATTTTTGTCTTTAAACGCATGCTTTTGGCAAAAATCGGTAAAATACTTTCAAAAAAACACACAAAAAACGTTAGGTGATCTGCGCTTTTCAGTTTTTTTTTGCCTTTGGAGCCCCAAAACTTTGGTTGCAAATTTATTACYCTTTAAAAAGTCGATAAAAAAGTGTGCTTMATTTTGATTGTTCGATTTTTGTCTTTAAACGCATGCTTTTGGCAAAAATCGGTAAAATACGGTCAAAAAACACACAAAAAACGTTTGGTGGTCTGCGCTTTTCAGTTTTTTTGCCCTTGGAGCCCCAAAACTTTGGTTGCAAATTTATTACTCTTTAAAAGTCGATAAACCAGTGTGTTTAATTTCGATTGCTTGTTCGATTTTTGTCTTTAAACGCATGCTTTTGGCCAAAATCGGTAAAATGCGGTCAAAAAAACACACAAAAATCGTTAGGTGATCTGCGCTTTAATTTTAATTCTCTTTATAAATGCTGTCTTTGGAGCCTCAAAACTTGTTACTCTTGAAAATTGGGTTTGTCTTTTGCTGTTTTTTCTTTAATCGAAAAGTTTTGAGAAAAATTGACAGAAGATGATCAAAAACACATGGAGCTTTGTATTTGTTGTTCCATTGACTTTGAGCCTCAAAACAGCGGTTTGCTTATTTGATACTTTTTTAAATAGTTAACGCATTTAAGCAGCCTTTTGACAAAAGCAGACAAAATATGATCAAATACACAATGTGGCGACTTACAACGAAAAGCGAACAAAGTAAAAACAGTTGTAAATTATTAGTTGCTTAGGGAGCTGTTTATGTGCAGACGTTTTTTGATTTTGTAATTTTTTCCTTAAACACAACTTTCCTGGGGGGAAAATGGCGACATAAAATACCAGACAGATTCGGCATCATTTATCCAAAACGTGGTCAAATTCCAGAAATCATGGTGTTTTCTTTCGAAGAACCGCAGAATTTAATTTTTAATCTGTGAATGGCGTGTATATTAAAAAGCCAACTACCGTAGGTTGAGTTTATCCTAGATTCAATTGCAGCGATTCGAAATTCTACCACAATTTCAACCACCTACGGATATCCATATGTTTCCAATGGAAAAAACGCTGCCTACTTCAACAGGTGAAACAAGTGTGTGGCCTGAAAAAAGAACTTTTTGCCCGATTAATAAATCAGCACCGCAAACGGTTCCGAGAAGCCATTTGAATACGCATTTAATGCGTAGTCCAGAGGTTTTTGGAACCCGGTTTGGGTGCGTTGGTTCAGTAACTATCTGGTTATGCGATAAATTTATTGCAGTGTAGGAAAAAGTGCAATTATAAGCAGCTGAAATAAATCAATTGAAAAAAGCCCTGGCTACCAGTGGGTGGTCGACGCTCAACAGCCATCCGACTTCTTCAGCCCCGTTAACATAAATCATAAATTAAGGATGCTGATTAGAGTTTTTCGTCAAGGCACCTGTTAAGATGTGCGCTCCAAAGTATTGTTTGCTGCAAGTTTGCAATTATAAGTCGACGTCCAAATTTCGGGGGCTCTTGAGGGAGAGATGCAGCTCAAATTTATTCCGAATTTGGATTCAGTTTTTTCGTTCAGGAGCTCATCCTTCGGTCGATGGGTGGTCGACGCCGTTCACCGGTTTGATCAGTTGAATGTGCGGCTGATTCCATCCGGAATAATCCCCAAATGGGTCAATTTCTTCACAGCCCAGCTGATATTGGGTTTCACCACGCCGATTTCGTAAGACTTCGACTTGGAAGTGAAAAAACCTAATTAACTATTCATTGATTTGGGAGCCGCAGCACGGAAATAGTGGCTTAATTCCGACTCTTTAACGGTGTAGTATTTAAGGTAGCTTTTCCAAACGAGTGCGTGGGCCATATTTCGCGTGGGATGTTCGGGCACTCCTAATTCAAATATGCTGCTTATAAATGCATTTCGACTCCGATAAGGTATAAGCAATTCAGATTTTACGCAGGCTGGTGCATAAGTACCACCATGCACAAACGATGGATATTTTTAGGACTTGTCAAAGGCCTCTGATCGCATCAACCAACTTGTTTTTCAGATAAGTTCTATATGAATGAGGCGGATTCATTTTTTTACAAACTTCTTCTTGGGTATTTGGCCTCAAAAATTTCCTCACGTCTTTTATTACAGATTGATAAATAGTGCTCCTATTTCGCAATAAGAACGAATTATTTATCAA